CACTGGTTCAGATGTAGCTTCTTGACTTTATGTATCCCCCTAAATTCTGGTACCTGAAACAAAATGCTTCACCATAGCAGAACTGACACAGAGGGATATGAAGAAGTTTCATCAAATGTGATCAAAGGCTCATCTGACAATGCCCTTTCAACAATAAAATATGGATAGAATAGAAAAGAAAGAAAGAAAGTGTGAATTAGTGAACTAAATTGAATTTCCCTCCCCAAAACCCTATTAGTGGGACACGGGAGACAGCAGGGGTCTTGGTTCTTTCAGATACCTGAAATATTTTGGTGTAATCCCACGTACTAGGCAAAGGCACAAGGAAAACTCAGAACATGTGAAGCTAGTGGGAAGGACAAGGGATCATGAAAAGTTCATATAAACCAATGATTCCCGAATTTTTTTGACTTTCCGCCCCCTTGGTTCCATACGCTCATCCCCCATACACCACAAAAGGCATTTATTCAGAATCGCATTCTGCATGACCCACTAAGGAAGATAATAATATAATAAAATATTAATTGCAGTAGCAATTACCGTATTGGCCTGAATATAAGCCGCACCCCCAAATAAGCCGCACCTTTAAAATTCAAGGGGGGGGGGGATAAAAAAAGACAATACCTGAATATAAGCTGCTGCCTTAAAATTCTGCAAGGGCTCACACCTGTAAATGGCCAATGTAGAAGAAAACCCAACAGCGATATCGTCAAAGTCAATTTTTGTAAGGTCGCAAATTTAAGCCACACTTTAACTTTTCACGGTCGGAATTTTTTTGGGGGGGAGGGGGGAGTGTGCCTTGTATTCGGGCCAATATGGTAGTTGCACATTGATTCAAAATCCAATTAAAACTATTTAGTTTAATTAATTTAACAAAATAGATGAACTTTATCCAGTGATGTCAGCTTTCCAGTGCCTGAAAAGTTATTTTCACTTCAGCATCCTTTGCTGCCCCCTTTGTCTCTTAGTGCCCCCCTAGGTCATCCCCCCCAGAAGGAAGCACTTTGGGAACCACTGATATAAACTAAGGAGAAGGAATACTCATTTGGAGTGCAGATTTTTAAGAAGCAACACGCACCAGCTTGATGCATTTATCCTCCCTTTGACACAGTTGCAAAATCCCACTGTTCCATCGCGCACTGTTTTGGAAAGTAGAAATTGAGTTGTCCTTTTAATTGTCAATTAATTTGATTTAATTGACTTGCCGATCGTATGGTCGGCGGTTCGAATCCCTGTGGCAGGGTGAGCTCCCGCCGTTCGGTCCCAGCTCCTGCCCACCTAGCAGTTTGAAAGCACCCCTAAGTGCAAGTAGATAAATAGGTACCGCTTTATAGCGGGAAGGTAAACGGCATTTCCGTGCGCTGCACTGGTGCTGGCTCGCCAGAGCAGCTTCATCACGCTGGCCACGTGACCCGGAAGTGTCTTCGGACAGCGCTCGCTCCCGGCCTCTTAAGCGAGATGAGCACGCAACCCCAGAGTCGGTCACGACTGGCCCGTACGGGCAGGGGTACCTTTACCTTTTTAATTGTCAACTGAATCAAACTTTGGATTTGTGACTGTTCAGGTTTCACCTTCTCTGCCTCTCTCTTTTAGGTGAATGAAATTTACCAGGATGAATCCCTGGGAGTCCACATAAACGTTGTTCTGGTTCGCATGATGATGTTGGGCTACACCAAGGTAAGAAAACCAAGTGAATGGTCCCTTCTGTCTCCATTCTCATCCAAATTGCTTTTGGAAGGTGAGATGTTACTATGTGTGCTTCCTGTACGAAGACATCACATGTGTGTGGATTCTTTGTTGTGTGTGTATGAAGAAGAGTAATGAGGAGAGAGAGTTGCTGCTGCAGCAACGGCCACCTCTGCGGGCTGGTTCAAATCCTGCCTTAATCCTCAGGTGATAAGCAAGGTCTGTGTCCTTATCATGTTTGCTTTAATTCTGAGCCTGGAAGAAGAAAGCAAATGGAGCAACATTCTAGAATCTAACAGATCTTTTCATTATTATCCTTTGCCTTGCATTTTTCTGTTTTGGTTGAACAAATAGAGTCTGGGGTTATTCCGTGTGGCTTCTTTTTAATTTTTTTAAGGGAAAGTTCTGCACTCAAGGAAGCCCAAATCCTGTGCACAGAAGTAGCTGAAATCTGCAACCACCGGAATGATGCAAATAAAACACTTCATTGTGATTCCTCTTACTTTGCATGATTTACCCAGCAATTGCTTTGCAAATTTTTAACTTCAGTACTGTAGTCATTTGGACTGCTAAAGTAGCTTAACATTGAAACATTGAAAGGGCATGTACCAGGTCACTAGAAATTCCACCAAACCACCTCTTTTTGCTCCTGAGACTTCAGTTGGCATTTTGCAAACACTTTTACAAATAAATAAATTCAATCACAAGGACTTGAAACTTGATTTTAAAGTTGAAAGCTGAGAGTCTCCGGAATCTGAATTCTCCTCTCGGTTTCTGATTCAGATCTCCCCCATCTTGCACCCCACAAAATCACAGCCCTGGCCTGCATCCTGTCACTTCTCTTTAGGAGGATTTTGGCAGGAGAGTAAACTGAGCAGACCAAGTCTCTTTTGCCATCTAGTGGCAGTCAGCTTCTGAAAACCCAGCGATACCTTCAAATTATCATCTTTTAAGTCATGGGTGGGGAAACCTTTTCAGCCTTAAGGATGCATTCCCTTCCAGGGGCCATGAGTCAGTGATGGGCGGAGCCAGGGGCAAAAGTGGGTGGGGCAGCAAAGGTGAATTCTACCTATGTCCTGAAGGCTACTTTCTAAAGATATTCCCCTCCATCTGGGGAGTTGAGAGGCATTAGCAGAATTCAAAAGCACATTCCACATAGGCAAAAACATTCAAAGAGGGTGTGAGCAGGATAAGTGAAGACTGTGGCCTGGGGAGACAGGTCAGACTCAGGGGTCAGCAAACTTTTTCAGCAGGGGGCCAGTCCACTGTCCCTCAGACCTTGTGGGGGGCCGGACTGTATGTTTTTTGGAGGGGGGGAAGAACGAATTCCTATGCCCCACAAATAACCCAGAGATGCATTTTAAACAAAAGCACACATTCTACTCACGTGAAAACACCAGGCAGGCCCCATAAATAACCCAGAGATGCATTTTAAATAAAAGGACACATTCTACTCATGTAAAAACAAGCTGATTCCTGGACCGTCCGTGGGCCAGATTTAGAAGGTGATTGGGCCGGATGCAGTCCCCGGGCCTTAGTTTGCCTACCCATGGGTTAGAGGTATGGCTTGGCTCTGTAGATTATCTCATCTATATCAATATCAATATTGATATCTAGATCATCTAGATTGTACTTAGGAATCCTTCCAGCATACTGACACCTCACTCCAGTTTCTCAGCTTTATTTTGGCTACAATTCTGTTGGCACTCACCACTTTTGTTTGATATTAGAGGGACTGGTCTCTCTCTCTCTCAAACATATACTCCTCGACACTGAAGTTCATAATTTTGCCACCCCTTCTGCATAATCTGTAGTTTGGCTGCCAGGGTTCTATTTATGACGCTACTGCTCCTCTTTCTCCAAAAAGACAAAGAAAAAGCAGGCTTGGTTCTATAGCTATAAACGGCTGTACACAGCAGTCATTTGTATATATCATTATTCTATCACTTAGTTGGACAGTATAATGCTTCTTGGGTGGGTGAAAGGACTGCTTCATTAATATCCTTAAGTGCTAATAAATATTCTTCTTGGGTGGGTGGAAGGACCACTTCATCAATAACCTAGAGCACTAATAAATATTTATTGCCTTTTCATCTGAGTGCACAACACTGCTGCTTCAAGCACCCCTGGCAGAAATGCTGGCTGCTCTGTGCGTATCATTGGCCTCAGATTTATTTTCCATGAGGGTTGCCTCTTCTCCCCCAGCAGTTGGGAATGTAAGCAAAGCCCAGCTGTGCAGCCACAATTGTCCTGGTTCTGAGACTGTCTCACTCATTGAGCATTTGTTCTGCACATGGCTTCTCCCGCAGAGAAAAGGATAGCCCCCAATTCATTACTGGGATGAAGAATATAAACATCGGAGATAATGTCTTCTGCAAAGTTTCTGATATGCAGCTACAACAAGCAGATCTGACTGCCTTGAGCCAGAAAAAAGAGAGTGTTTATAGCAGAAGATCCAAAATACTACCAGTAGTATTTTATTATATTTTAACTATACACAGAGTTCCGTCTTTCATTTATGCAACTGAGGGCAGATGTTCTGACCTGACAGGGCTGCCACTGAAAAGGGCATCTGTGTATACCTTCAGTACACCTGAAGGAGTGCCTCCACCCTCATTGTTCAGCCCAGGTCCACCTCCAAGGGCCTTCTGGCGGTTTCATTACTGCGAGATGTGAAGTTACAGGGAACCAGGCAGAGGGCCTTCTCAGTATTGCCCTCCCTGTAAAACGCCCTCCCATCAGATATCAAGGAGATAAAGAACTACACAATTTTTAGAAAGCATCTGAAGGCAGCCCTGTTTCAGGAAGTTTTTAATGTTTGATGTCTTATGTTTTTAGATGTGCTGAAAGCCGCCCAGCGTGTCTGGGGAAACCCAGCCTGATGGGCGGGGTATAAATATGATGATGATGATGATGATGATGATGATGATTTGTCCAGGTCTCCTCAGCTTGTGAGGCAACAGTAGCCTAGTTTCTTCATACACTGCTCTCCAACCTCCATCCAGGGGAGCAAAAAGCTTTATCAGATTTCAAGGACACGTTCCATCAAGGCAAAAACACTTGGGGCCAGTGAGGAGTGTGGCTCAAGGATAAGGGGTGTGTCCTGGGGGAGAGATCCAAGGGGCAAACAGAGAGGCATAAAGGTCCAGATTCAGTCCTTGAAGTTCCCCACACCTGTAGAGTAGTGGGGTGGGGCAATCACGTGCAGCCCCTCACCATGAGGCCATGTGCCAGGTGAAGCATAGAATCATAGAATAGATTCATATATTCATAGAATCATGGATTTGGAAGGATCATCTTGTCCAACCTGAATATGCAGCTGTCCCATACAGGGATCGAACCTGCAACCTTGGCATTATCAGCACCACACTCTTGCAAACTGAGCTATCACCTGCAGTTGGTGCCATCTTATTTTTTTCTAGAATAGAATGAAATGACAGGGGGTCCAGAATATCACCACTGCAGGGCTCTCCAGAGCCACATCATTTGGTCTGCCATGCTGAGTGCTGGGGCCTGGCCTGACCAGCAGCAACCTCTCCTCTTGTGATCAGATCCCTCTAACATATATCACATTCTTACTCAGTCCATCAGCCTTATTGAACGAGGAAATCCATCCCGGAGCCTGGAGAATGTTTGCCGCTGGGCATATCAGCAACAGAAAGCAGACTCCAGCCACTCGGAGCACCACGATCATGCCATATTCCTAACCAGGCAAGATTTTGGACCAGCTGGAATGCAAGGTAGCACAACCAAGACTTTTCTTTTTCTTTTTCAACAAGTATTTTGCTGTGTTGGCTGTTTTCAAGATTCAACTTACTTGATTCGGGCAAGTGGAATCCAGCCAGAATTCACAAGTCATTTCTTCTTTCTTTATTCAGAGTTGGTCAAAGTTTAGTAACTCAATCTATCCCTGCTGGGGAATGTGTTCAGCAATTTCTCTCCCAATTATTATTATTACTCCACTAGGTTTATGAAATAAAACTAGAGAACTTCTAACAGTTATTAAAAGAACGTATTTAGAAGCTAGGAATGGGTTGTAAAGGTTTCCTGAATCTCTCCTGGCTTCATGTTACTCTGATGGTGAATGGCAACCACACCCCCTGGTTTCTAGTAGCCATTTTTCTTTAAGGTTCCTTCCTACTCAGAAGGAGATGGAGTAAGGGAAGAAAGTGTGCAATAGAAAGGTAAATAAAGGGTTTGGGGAAGGCTTTGCATGCTGAAGGTCCTAGGTTCAATCTCTGCGTAGGGCTGGGCACGATCCCTGCTAGAAACCATGGAGAGTCACTGCCACAATTCTAAGCTACATACACACATTATAAGGCAGCTAGCTATTTTCATATGATGCAACCGGAAATCTCTCTTTTTCTTTTGCACAGAACTGTAAAGAAATGTCTCCTTCTGCACTGTTGACAATTCTGTTCTGTCAGTAGGTTAAGGCTTGACGATATAGCTGTAGCCACGGAGGGCTAACAAACAGTGCTTTGTTTTATTTTTAAAATCCAAATCTTTTACATTTTCAACAGGCTATGCTCCAGTAACAGGCATGTGCCATCCTGTCAGAAGCTGCACTCTTAACCATGAAGATGGATTTTCTTCAGCTTTTGTGGTCGCCCATGAAACTGGCCACGTGTAAGTCCCAGTAGTATGCCTCTGAATTCCACTTGTTGGGAATCACAAGTGCAAGGAGCACTCGGGTCATCGTTCTGGGCTTCCCATGGAAATCTGGTTGGCCACTAGGAGAAGAAAGATGCAGGACTGGATGAGATCCAATACGGTCCTTCTTATGTCCTTATGCTAGGGAATCTCTGGCCTACTGGCCAGTCTTGGCCCACCAGGGTGTCCAAGTTGGCCAGTAAGGCCATTTCCCTCCAACCACACCAAACTGCCCATCAGCTGGCATCATTGATGGGAAGGTTATATTCCTGCTGGGTGCTGCTTCACCATCATGTTCCTTGAAGAGAATGTGATGGTGAAGCAGACCCTCCCACCTACCAGGATGCCCACCTATCAGTCATCTGATGTCACAATGACGTCCAGCCATCCACCTGTCAAAGCTAGTCCTCTTGGGAAGAAGGGGGAGAAATAAAAAAAATGATCTGCAAGGCCAAAAATGTTCCTCACCCCTGAGGGTTAGCAGCTGGGGCAGACTGAGGCTGGTAGGACAATGCTTCTTGCACCCTAATGAACCACCCACCAGTGTTCAGGGAGAAGGATCCTAGACCAGCCTTCCAAATGTCTGTCTAAAGCAGTCCAACACAGACCCTGGTTTTCAATTGCAATGGAGTCCTAATGATGGACCTGGGTCTGTGAAATTCAGACTACAATGGCTGTCATGCTTTCCCTTCTAGAAAACCTGGAATTGAAGGAGCTTGGGAAGGGTTGAGATGTGTAGTACTATAGATATTGTTGAGCTCCGGCTCCCATCAGCCCAACTCAGTATGACCAATGGTCAAGGATGATGGGAATATTTGTCCTGCAGAATCTGAAAAGCCACAGGGCTCTCCATCCCTGAGCTACCTAGACCAGCCTGGTAAAATTTATCAGAGTAAAAGAGAAGCTGATCTAAGTCATTTTTTGTGTGAAATATGGTTTCAACCTCCTCCACTCTTGGCCCCAATTAATTCCATCATGCTGGTCTCTGATTTCAGGTTGGGAATGGAGCATGACGGACAAGGGAATCGGTGTGGGGATGAGACAGCAATGGGGAGTGTCATGGCTCCCCTGGTGCAAGCAGCGTTCCATCGATACCACTGGTCCCGATGCAGTGGCCAAGAAGTCAAAAGATACATACAGTAAGGACCAACCGGTGGTCAGCATATGCTGTATGAACAGGCACTAAATACCTGGAGCAAGACTAGGGAGCGCACATGAGGAAAGCCAAAGTTTGGCTAGTGTCCAGGCAAAGTCTCAGATCTGGCTTGGAAGCTTTAAGAACTGAATCAGGAGGAAACAATGGGTTGCAGAAGGCAGGTCAACAGCAGGACCAAGAACAACCCTGGCCCTCTCTTCCTTCATAGTGACACACAGCAAAGGACGTTGGTGCACAGACATGGAGATTCATTGTTCTAATTTTGACATGCAGTTAATGCATTTTTAAAGGTCAATAGCAAAGCACCTGATGCAACAGTTGTTACTGATGTTTTGGGGTGGATAGTGGTGGGGCCGCCCCTCATGGAAAATGCCTTGTTTGATATTCCAGGGGTGGCTTAACTGTGGCTTTCCAGATGGTGCTGAACTGCATCTCCCATCATCCCCGATGTTAGGCATGCTGACTGTGGCTCATGGGAGTTGTAGTTCAGTAACATCTGGAGGGCTGCAGATGGCTATCCCTGGTTTATTATGAGCCCAATCAATTGGGATCCTTTTGTCTTTGGGAAATGATCCCCTTCTCCACCACCACCAATGAACCTTTATTCTCCTCCCTTCTCCCTTGTATTTTACATGAACATTAAGAAATGTGTGCTTCAGTAACATCAGTTGTCGCAGACATGCCCTTCTGTTAGTCTCAGAGTTAGGGGGCTTAGTGAACTGGGAAATGGGGTGCCTGACTGGAAACAGAAATTGGGAGACAGCAAACAATCTGAAGGGCCTACCAGCCCTCTTTCAAATCAGCCTGAGAGATCCCAAACACAATAAGGCAAACGGGAGAATGTTTACTCTTTGCAGGGCAAGAACCACCAATATCTTTAATTCAAGAACTGCTGTTGCCAGCATTGATAAACTCAAGTTCTGCAATCCCAGTGCATTTGAACTGAATATGTTTGCTCAAAAGTTTATCGGCCCTGCAGTGCCCTCTGGTGTTGGTCACCAAGTGTTCATAGGCAGAAAGAATCTCTGTTATCTCTTACTTGATGCCGTCCAGCCTTTCTCAACCTGTGGGTCTCTAGATGTTGTTGAACTATAACTTCCATCACCCCTATCCAGCAAGGCCAGAGCTCAGGGATGATGGGAGTTGTAGTCCAACAACATCTGGGGACCCACAGGTTGAGAACCGCTAAACAGATTGAAAGATGGGCTGTGGATAAGGAATGCCCTCCTTACTTAAACTCAGTGGGAGTAAATATTAATTTAATAATAATAATAATATATTTATACCCCAGCCACTCTGGGCAGCTCCCAACAGAACATTAAAAACATGATAAAACATCAAACATTAAAAATTTCCCTAAACAGGGCTGCTTTCAGATGTCTTCTAAAAGTCAGATAGTTGTTTATTTCCTTGACCTTTGATGGGAGGGCATTCCACAGGGTGGGTGCCACCACTGAAAAGGCCCTCTGTTATAAGCTGTGGTTTATGCATATCCAGCAGATGACTCTCTTCTCCTTCGTTTCTGCAATAGCTCCTACGACTGCCTCCTTGATGATCCCTTTGAACACGATTGGCCCAAACTTCCTGACCTGCCAGGGATCAATTATTCCATGGATGAACAGTGCCGTTTTGATTTTGGAGTGGGCTACAAAATGTGCACAGCGGTATGTCCAAAGCGAATTCTAGAAAGTAAAACCGGACCAAACCACTGAACTATTGAAAGATCCCAGTTTTGCATGCAGAACTCGGTTCAATCCCCAATGGCATCCATGTAGATTTGGAAACCTGTATGAAACCCTTGAGTGTCTTTGTAAGTCAGTGAAGACAATGTTGAGTTGAGTGGACCAATGGTCTGACTTGGTGTAAGGCAGCTTTCTATGTTGTTATATTTCATTATATTATGGATCATGAAAGGTAAGCCCAAGTCGGTCATGATTCTTCATGTATTTATTCAATCTAGATCTCATCTTTCCTCCCAAAGGAGAGAATGGGGCAAACCATTGATAAGCTGGAATGTGCCCAGAGCAGGGCAACCAGGATGATACAGGGTTTGGAAAGCAAATCTTAAGAGGAATGGTTGAGGAAGTTAGGTGGGTTTAGCCTAAAGAAGAGAAGACTGAGAAGTGATATGAATCTTCTTCAAATATCTGAAGGAACACAGTATATGACGAGCTTAAAAAAATGTTTAAGTATAACTTTATGAAAAATACAGGAGCTTTTCTACTAGGGATAACGGACACAGGTATAGCAAGAGAAGATCAGAAAATATTCCTCTATGCCACAGAAGTGGCAATGATCCTAATGGCTAAAAACTGGGGGGAAAAGAAACTGTGCCAGCAAAAAAAGGAATGGCAAGACAAACTGCTAGAGTATATTGAGCTGGCTAGATTAACAGAGGCAATTAGAGATCACACTAAACAAGAGTTTCAAAAAGCATGGGGGAAATGCAGAGAATACTTCCCAAAACAGTGCCCTAAAATACATATCTGGACTTGTTTCGATTAATATCTGCAGGAGACTTTGTGGATATTTAAGTTATAATTAGAAAAATCTTAATAATTATTCATAAAGGAAACAGTTTTTAAG